AGAAATACCCCACCCCTCCCCCTTTTGGAGTGAAATCAGACCCCCCGACCTCGTTTCACTGGGCACCCCTTCTGAAATCGTTTGTTACATCAAAACGAAGTTCTTTGCCAAGTTTGGTGCTTTAGTCACCTCGGTCACGATTTTAGCATTTTTTGGGCCTAAGCAACTGGACTATATTAGGGGTTGCCTTGGTTACCTTTGATTTTGTTAAACAATGCCAAGATTTTTTTCTGTTGGTAGGGGACCCCTAACAGGTCCTAACATAGAGTTGAGGGAGGACCGAGACAGTGTGGGAGTAAGGCCATCAACTCAACCTCCCTTTAGTTGCTTCTGATACCCAAACCTGATTCTTATTCTCGAGTTACTTGCCAATAGAAGATTGACTATGAACCCAATTACCAATGCCAAATTAATAATTAAAACCTGGGTCAAAAACTCCAAGATGGGGGCTGGTTTTGGAGGCTAGACACTGCCTGGGGATTAAAAATATAATGAACAGCCTGAACCCTCTCCCCCTAATTCGTTCTGGATCCACCACTGGTTATGAAATGACGAATAAATATGTAAGGCTCCGAGCCCTCCCTTGCAAATTAAACAATTTTAAAACAGTCCCTCACGGTCTATGCCAATGCAAAGGAAGCCCAAGCCGGCCAAGCTTAGACCGGAAATGACACAACTACTTAGCACGAAGCGACTCGTCGCACGAGCCCGAATGGCGAGGATGGCAGGATTCACGTGTTCAGTTTGCGAAAACGCAAAGGACTTCAAAATTATATGCAAAATAATATTTCCTACTATCAAACATTTCATACCTATTCTTAATCAATAATCTATATACTTATTGTATGCAACGCAGGTTTTCCAGGCATAAAGTAACGAAAAACTTGTTTTTCTAAATTCATATGAAATGTTTTGATGGGATACCCGTGACAATTTGCACGAGCACGTGAACATTTACCACGATGCAGCCATATTTGGTCAAAGAACGTGGTGTTCACATGATCAGAAGTACTCTTCCACCAATCAGAAGCATCGCACGGGTTTTGAACATGTGAAGAGTTCAATGTCTGCGGCAAAGCAAGCCAGAGTAGTTGGCGATTCAAAGTTCAGTAAAAACACAGGGGAAAAACTCTGCTGTGAACGTACCAAATAACCGATCTCTCCCTCCTTCCTTAGCTTTGTACCATCTTACATGAGGTGGCCATCGAAGTGGAAAAACATTAGACGTTATTAGCAAAGCATGAGAAATTCACCTTTTAATAGTTTGAGGCGCAATACTATGGCTTCTTCTCAGTCTACGTTCGTCCACTTGATAGCGGGAGGGTGAGTGGATCATGTAAACTGTTGTTTTCGTGAATCATGTCTCCTCTGATTTACTTCTTTGGAGGATCTTAACACTGTATAAACCAGTAGACATGTTAGATGCTTTGGTTTGGTGTTTCATAAATCTTGGGAATAAAAAACGCGGAATTCCAGTTACTAAATGCCATCGAATCAACATGAGTGGAAAGCTAACAACACAACCTAATACTAACTTGTAAATCTCGTTCTAGCTGTTTGTTTTTGCCCGAAATCTATTCCCACAACAATAGAATGTTGGTAGGGAAAGCTTAAGTCTTTTAAGCTTGTGTATGTCAAATAATTTAAGCTTTATAACAGCCTTGCATTGTCATCGTTTTCTCATGTTTGGTTGTTTTGATTCGCAGGGTCGCAGGAACTGTTGGTTCCTCGCTAACTTGTCCCTTAGAAGTAGTAAAAACCAGATTACAGGTAGGTCGAACATTTATCATCAATGCAATCATTTCTGTACGTAATATCAGCCAAAAGTTTTCCAGCATTGCTTCTCTACATGCATGTGTTGAAAACATCTAAAAATACTCTAACTATACTTATATATAAACCCTAAATTTGTTAACTAGAACTTGGATTTAGGTTTTGTGCCAAAAGTTTTTTTGTGGTGTTATAATTGGTAAACATTTATGCAGATTGTAAAAGAATTAAAGAAAGCACGGTGCAAAATTTTTTTTGTACAATTCTGTACTAAATGGTGGCTTTGTTTGCGTTGAGTTCAAAGCATAATTTACTCAAATGCTTAGCATATAAACCTTAATATAAATAAAATATGGCCTACCCTGCAGCATGCCTTTTGATTTCATAGAATTCCAATAATCTGATTATTTACGTTGTGTTGTTGTTGTTTAGTCCTCAGTTACAACGTTTCATGCTACGACATGTGTGAGTGGTGTAGGAACAGTACCAATTCAAGTATCCTATCAGAAACCCACAGGAATTCTAATGTGTCTTAAAAATATAATCCAATATGAAGGAGTTCCAGCATTATTTAGAGGGCTTGGACCTACACTTATTGGCGTCGCCCCATCAAGGGCTATATACTTCTCCTTTTACGCGACTGCTAAGAACAAGTTTAATAGAAGTGGTTGGCTGGTGCCAGAAAGTAAGATGGTTCACATGATGTCTGCTTGCTCTGCAGGTAAATATTATGTAAGACCAGACTGTAAGTCTAGGGTTACTTGACAGAGGCATTTAGCTTGCTCATCAAATTCATTCCCCAAAGATAAACAAACATCCAATTATTTGTTTCCTATGCTCTATATCTGTTGTGAATGTAAAGCACAGTCTAAGTTTAAAAGAGGTTTTAACTTTGCTTTTCATTATAGCTCTCCATATAAAAACAACACAACGCTACAAGCCATCAAACTTGTTCCTAGTAAATTAAGAAACCATCATTGGTTTCCTATTAGATATGCTCTTTGGCGAATGTAAAGCTTAGTCTAAGCTACAGTACCGTTTCAACTTTGCTTTGCATATAGCTCCCTTGTCAAAATTCGTCATGTCTTTATTCAATTCATAACAAATATTTTCCATTTGTGTAGGACTGTTAACTTCGACTGCAACTAGTCCATTATGGGTTTGCAAAACGAGACTACAGCTTTATAATGGGTAAGTTTCCTAGTAGAAACAGGGATAATATACCATGCTTTGCAAACACCAGACATCAAAATATCCTGACAGGCTCCTTAAACTTGTATGCTTTAGTCGTTTGCATTGACACATGCAAGTTTCAGGAGTCATAATACATCATGATGTCTGGTGTTCACACCTAAATGCTTACCATGGTGGAGAGCTTTCTTAGGTAAAACACTAATTTACAAAATTTATACGGGTGAAAAGTAGCAACAATCTTGCTCAAACTTTTAGAATGTATTGCTGTGATATATGTCCTGAATATATGCACATTGCAAATACAAGAGTGTGAAGAGTGATGCTTCATCATACTTTACAAGCTGCTTAGTCTAGTCTTAGTCACTGCTTCTTGATACGGTGGTTAACCACGGCAGCTGAGCTATGGTTTTCCAATTTTACATTCTTAAAGTGTTTACCAGGTTTTTGATAATGGTGCTGCTTTATATTGACAACTTTTTAATATTTTGACACTCAAAATTTATATTCCCACTTGAGAACATCAAGCGAAGTTACTCCAAGTATTTAGCATAAAACATAGCTCAAGCATTCATTTTAACAGTTCTGTTTTCTGTTGTCTTTTTAGGAGAAGACAAAGATTATGGAGAGTTATTTTTTCAATATACCAGAAAGAAGGCATTCGAGGATATTATCGTGGACTTTCGGCATCTTATGTTGGAGTTACGGAGACTTGTATACACTTCGTCATATATGAACACATAAAGTCCAAGTTACGAGTTCACAAACTACAAACTAGAGGAGGACAGAAGAGTGCTTTTGATTTTGTGGAATTCATGCTGGCTGCAGCAACATCCAAGACAATAGCATCAATAGTTGCATATCCACATGAAGTTGTTCGGACAAGGTTACGTCAGCAAGAGAGTGACGGTACTCGAAGATACCACTCCTTTTTTCAAACTCTTAAAAAGATTGCTTTAGAGGAAGGCCGACGAGGATTGTATAGTGGATTGGGAACACAACTCATACGACAAATTCCTAATACAGCCCTTGTCTTCTTGACTTATGAAGCTATTGTAAGCTTTTTGTGTAAAGAGGATTGAGCTGGAGCATCAGTGTTGTTTTTTGCTGAATCCGAAATGGCATTGCTAGTTTGGTGAAGAGCATAATGGCATCGAAATACAAATGGCTGTACTTCCATGGTATAAAAGAAATGATATTCACAAAGAATAAGATATAAACAAATATCAGTAGACCTAATTCGTGGTGTGACAATGTTTTCCTAATTCAGCATGACAAACCTCTGGAGGATTCATTTTATTTTGTTTTTACTCTTTGAAAAAGTCATGAGCATCCCTAAGGATATGAAAGGAATGACAGTTATATACCGATGAGTTTCAAAATAATAGCTGTTCATTCTCTGTCACACCAAGAATAAATAGAGAATATTACATGGGCGCGCTTGGAGATACAAATTTTATCTTTGAGTGTTCAATTGATATCTCACGAGTGAGAGCAGTGAACGAGTGAGATATCGAAGTTGAACACGAGAAGATAAAATTCGTATCTCCAAGCGGCCATGTAATGTTCTGTTTATTATATAGATATCGATGAAACTTAAATAAAACAAAAGCTCAAAAATTCTTTATTAAAATAGCAAGCCGATTATGTTACTATGTCAACAGCGATATCTTCACGTGTGAAAGATATGGTATCTACCACTGGTGAAAGATATCATGTTTTCGACATTAGAGAAAACCTGGTATTTCATCGATATCTATATAAGGTCTATTATGATAGAGCATAAGAAACCAAAAATTTAAGTATTTCAGCAAAATAAAAACAGGAAGAAAATGTTTTCAGTTGAAATCATACAGTGGATATTTAAGACATTACCAGAATTTATTTTAAACTTGAAAAGTGGTTGGAGTTCGGCTATTATTTCACAATTTTATGAAATAAGTAGAGGATATTACATGGGCGCGCAGAGATATGAAATTTATCTTCGAGTGTTGAAAAGATCTCTCACGAGTGAGCGCAGTGAACGAGTGAGAGATTTTCAACACGAGAAGAAAAATTTCGTATCTCCAAGCGCCCATGTAATATTCTGTTTATTATATAATTATCCATAAAATCAACTTAACAAGCTTTTTATTATTATAAAAAGTTTTTATTTATAAACTAATAGCTTAAATACACATGGTAACGATATTTTCACATGCGAAAATAACGATATTTTCACATGCGAAAATAACATGTTATTTTCACATGTGAAAATATCAGTTTTTCAAAAAGGAGAAATATAGGTATTTTATGGATAATTATAAGATAAAACCTATAAGTTATATAGGAGTTTTACTTAACCACATGAATGCATAAAATATAATATAGTAATGATTGTGAACTGGAAAAGCCGAAACTTAATATGATTTCTTATTTGGAATTGCTCAAGCCATAAAATCGGTTTTAGCATGCTCTTTAAAGTTCATTGCAAGACAACTACTTTTATTCAGATTTTAAAATACTTGCAACATGATATTGATATAGAAATTTATTTAATGTACAAATTTGTAAATAGAAAAATATGATTTGTTTATAAAAATGATCCGTTTTGTGGTTGAAAATAAAAGTCTTTTAAAAACTCTAAATGGTGAATGTTCTCTTTGTGAGCAAGCGTGATTAATTATAAATATCTTTATCATCAGAGTGCAAACAATTAATCAGTGAAACACTAATTACTAAATAGTACAAAATAGTGCTAATTAAACAATAGAAAACAATGGAATTTGCACGAAATTGTGCTATTTAGTATTACCAAAGTTTCACGGTTATATTGTTTGCACTTTAGTGCATTCGTACTAACTGGGGACACTGCACTCACCCACCCCGCACTACATTCAATGGGATAAATCATACGCATATTTCTATCCTATTTTTCAAAGGCAATATTCTTCCTAAGAAGAAACAACTAAACTAACAGCTATTCCAAATTTCATTTGCGTTGTCCATCGAGTTTTCGCATGACTGTGAAAAGCTCAGTGCCGTAAGCGTGACGTGCCGTGACCGTGATGCTTTCTAGAATTTTAATTGGCTGATTTTTTCACGCGCAATGTGATTGGTCTGGCATTGCCGTGACCTTGTCCGCGCCGTGTTTATGCCGTGTTCCGGGTATTTGAGTGTACGGAGAGTAAATTCTCTTGCAATGTGATTGGTCTGGCGTACCCCTTGCCGTGTCACGGCCGTGTTCGTGCCGCGAACTTTTCACAGTCATACGAAAACTGCACTAGTAAAATAATGATGTATGGAATTCCTAAAATCCATGTTCATAGCCATATCAGTTAAAAAGTCACTTTGAATACGATTTTGAAAACTTACTTGTTCGTATATTACTTATAGTACTTACTTCATACATTTTTGAGACGACTTGAGATACCTGTGTTAACCCTCCATCGTTTCATGTTGCAAAAAGATTTCGCGCCAAAAATTCTACACCCAAGACGTTTTACGCCGAAAGAAACTTAAAAAAACTAATTGCGGAATGGATATTGCTGAAATTCAATAAGATTCGGTTTAGAAAAGAAACTATGCGACTAGCTTCTGTATCCGTCAGATTACAGAGAAGGTTCACGTCAGGAATGAAAAAGTGCTGAAGGTTTTTCTTTTTAACCTTTGAAATAAGTTCTTCAAGAAACGCAATGATGATGGAAAGTTTCCGTCGTCCATGTCTAAAAAACCCAGACGTTCTTAGGTGAAGAAAAAGGGTTTTCAAAAAGTACGAACATAGTGGTTCCAGAGGTTTTTTGTTCACTTCGTAAATATGTTTTACAATCCGATAGCATTTCTTATCTTCGTCTATTGCTCGTGCTCTCAAGAGAGACTTCTCTGCAAGGGAAAAGGATAGACGCCAGTAACGAGGGTCGTCCATGTTATTGGCTTTTGGAACGACATGGCAACCTTTGGACTTAATTTCGTCGATCATATTTCTACTGGGCCACCGGTGGTACTCAGCACCCCAGCGACCTGCATTTGAGGGCCATGTTGGCACCTCGATACTTAAAACAATGTCAACATTTATGATTTCACGGTTTGACATAAACCTAACGTTTACTGCTGGTCCCTTGATAGTCGGCTCCTCAATTCTGACATTGCTTTTGTTATTTTGGGAGAGTTTCTGACAGCGCCGGCTTATAAGCTTCCTGAAATGATCAACGATGAGGTGAGCAGATAAGACGCGTCCTACTCCACTTGGACCATCTATAAGCAAATCTTCCCAACACTTGGAGGTATCTTTGTGACTTTGGTACTGCAAGTAACTAAAACCACCTAGATATGGAGTGGCTCTTCTAATGGGGCAAACCTGAACCTCAAAGCACTTGTTAACATTATTACCCTTGAGACAGACCATGATGTCGAACTCGTTTGGTATGCCAACTTTAAGTTTCTCATAGTAACTGCCTAAATAAATAAGAATAAGATAAATCATCCACAATTTACTCTTCCTAGAACTTCTTACGTCGCAGACAGGGCAGAAAAACGGGTTCTACTTTCGACGTTTTTGCGTTAATAAGCTTTATATTTCATAAACAGGCTCTTTTGGGGCTGATTAACAAAATACAAAAAATTTGGGGAAATTTAAGGAATGCGTATTTGAGATATAACGCCCTGAACGTTGGGAGAGATGATATTTTGATCAGCACAAAAACTAACATTTTCGCTAATGACCTCGAAGTAGAATTGCTCGGGGTTATCAGAATTTTGTGAAAAGTTTAAAGCACAAGAGACACGAATGAAACACTAAACGTTTTTTTAGCATGAATGACAGATAAAGAAAAAAATTGCGAAAGTAGCAGCCTTGTCGTTTTTCTGTTCTGTTTACGTCGCATAAGTGTGTGCATCGGACTGAAGCAGAGGGAATCAGTCTGAACACTTACTGAACGAAGTAAAAGAAACTAAGAGTGACCGGTTGGCCGTATTGTATTGCAATCCGATAGCTTACATAAACACTGATGCAGTTTACATCATATATTTACCTGCTCTTAAGATATCGAAGGAAAAACGGTCATCCAATTCATGGATCTTCATGATAATTTCTTTTTCCACGATAGTGTTGATAAAATTTGCCTTCTTCTTAATATCATCCATTTTTAATGCACACTTTTCGTCATACAAGCCATTTATGATATTCTCCACTCTATAATAATCCACAGCAGTTGTTTGAGGTCTTCTGATAACCGTCGGTCGTACTGTTACTCTTTTCCTTCTCCCTTGCAGTTCAGCCTGTTTTGAACGCTCTTTCGTCGTTTCTGGAACATGCCCATCACCTGGTACCTCCCTTGCTTGTAGTTTTGAAAAATCTAATGCCTCTGTTGGTCTTAAACAGGATGGTTCCCTTCCCATTTTCCCAGTTGGAAATGTTAGTGATTTATCAACTCTTTTTCTTCGACCTCGTACTTCACATTTCCCACCTGGAAGCTGGTTAATAAGGGATTTTTCATTATGCAAAACAGGGTTGTGTTGAACGTCTCCTTTTGTGTCTTCCCTTCTGAGGGTTTCCTTAGTATCATTTACTCCTTGTACCTCCACGCAGTCTTTTTCCCGTTCTCTCGGCCTTCTCTGTTTTCCCTCGGCTACAAGACTGATTTTAACTTGTACTGAAACTTTTTCTCGGGGTTTTAAAGGACTTTGTGTGCTGACTCCTCCACTTCTGACGCATGTTACAGTTTTTGTTGTGGTGGTAGTGTGGTCCAAATTGGGCGCTGGACAAAGGCCCGAATTTCGTGCCGGCCTTGGTTTGAGAGTTTTACTCTTGAGCGCATTGCTGCCCCCAACTGGCATGAATGAACTTTACGAACTGCAAGCATCAAGGAAGGTATCAAGGCTAAAATAATATGAGTAAATTAATGAGAATCAAGATATGACATAAGTCAGCAAATATTTCCTTGTTTTAAATAGGAGAACTACTGCTTTCAAAAATGAGTCTCCTTACTAGCTATTCTTCAAGGTCTGTCAGTTTGCAGTGACTTATACTATTAATGGCGAATTGTTTGTTAACCCCGCGTAGGGAAGATTTATAGCTAAATCCATGAGGTATGACCGGTTGATGATCCATTTTGATAACATTAGTACGGTGAGATTAAATGCGCTGTTCTCGGATATATAGCCGGCCAATATATACCAACCACTTATATATAAGGAAAATAATAATTCCAATTTATTACTTGGATATTTAATGATTAATAATGCTCTTCAAAATTTGGTATGCAAATTCTATATTTTTCAGTTACAGCGTGTGTTACGAAGGGGAGAACCCTGGGTTCGATTTCTCACTTTAGAAGTGAACCTTTAGTGTTTACACCCACGGTACACGCAGATTATAAAGGAAGTTTCACCAACACATCCACCGTATCTATATCTGTTAGATAGGATATAAAGTTTTTCAGCTTTTGCACAGTAGATTCAAGACTGTCGCCATCAGACCATGAATTGAAATACTATTAAAGCTTACTAACGGAAGGACTAATATTGTTGAAATCCTAAAGATATTTCTGCGAGGGTAGAATTGAAATCATGACCGCTGTTCGTCGCCGAATATTTCAATTTTAGTAAATTATTCAAATGTACGAGAACTACGCCAGAAAATAAAGAAGTCTAAGAATTAGCCGGCAGATGGTTCTTCTCGTTCGATTTACGGCTGTTTCGGGCCTTAGTAAATAATCGTAAAGGCTGAAATATGTGGAGTTTGAATGAATGGATTAAGAAATAACTATCATGTTATATTTGCCTTTCGAAAGTAGCGACGGAAAATGAAACCAAAATCATATGTGTATTAAATTTGGATGTCGCCATCGGATTTGCTAAGTCAAGACGTGTTTCTATATATCCAAACTCGATTCTGACTGTGTCTAGCTGTAGTGAAAGATTAACTTACAAATTCGTTACCTACTTACCCGAGAACCAAGTACGCCTTGGCAGGTAGTCGTGTAAAAGTGGCCTTCTTGTTCTGAGAAATACGGAAGTAGCTTTTGACGGAAATTGGGGGATTTCTGGTATACGAGGAAATTAGGACCAAGGAACAGTAGAAATTGGGACTGCCGGAATAACACCTGGAGAACCAGGCCTGTCGGGTTTCCTGTGGCAAAACCAATGCACAGCCAACCCAAACATAAAGAGTCGTAATTATAATAATATTATCATAAAAATACTTTATTTAGATATTTCTAGTTTAACGAAATGAAAATGATGGCTTTCGTTTTGTGGGGGATTTTTCACAGCATTATTGCGTCATGACTATCGAGGGACTTCCCCTGGCTCTCCGCGTCATTCCGGATGATTATGGGGGAGATTGCAGGAATTTATGTTGTTATGTTGTGTTGTGCGATAAACATTTTTTCGTAAAAACCACTGCACGCAATTTTTTTTGCGTTTGCTCGATATTTCCTCACTTTTCCTCACTGAAAGGAGGGGATAGGTGACATTTTTTTCGTCCGTGCTTGCTCGATATATTTGGGGGGGGGGGGATTTTCGCAAGCCACTCCTCAATTATCTATTCATAATAGAGATATATTAATCATTAACCTAATGCTCTGTCCCCAAAGAGCGAGCTTATCATGTGCAAAGTATTTAGTTAGACTATGGAGTTCGTGCATGCTGTCATACATGGCTCCGGATCAATCATCCAAATCCAACTTTAATTTTAAAACGTCTTCTGTAAATTTTAAAAATATTGTAATGATTTTCCACCTCTTACCACCACAAGAAATACTAGTGTAGCTTTTTTTATAGTCTTTTCCTTGGAAAAAAGAAAAAAATCGGGCTGAATGAAACTCGGAAACTGAAGTGATGCTTGTATGTGGTCGGGTGTCACGCTCAAATCACATGACCCTTGAAACGGAAACGAAGCCAAAACTTTGAAACACAATCCAGTGCTCTCACTTTGATACTGATGGTAGCAGTCTGACATTCTCGTATAAAAGCATGGCTGCGATTTTCGACTTTTACGGACTGTTTTTGGTGGTAGCTTTGACGTTTAGCTCTAAAAATACAGTCAGAGGGCAACCAGAACAAATTCACATGGCGTTCACTGGTGTATCGAGTGAAAGAATAGTTAATTATGTAACGCAGTCGCAGGATGTCGACCTCAAGACCGTGGCGTTGTACGGAAAAGATCCAAAACAACTCGATCAGAAATCAGATGGAGAGTCGTTCCTGTATCCTCTACCACAGAACCAAGAAGTTGATTCTAAACATCACAGGAATTTGACCATTCACAATGTTAAGGTAAGAGCTCCTTGTATGAAAATCAAAAAGTATAAATCTTTCCGGCGTAATCAATCGAACGTTCGATTCCATCGTATCCAATCGAATCGAATCGAATGATTAGAATTTTTTTTGTACCCCAAAAATTTCTCATGCAAATTAAGTTCTTAATTAATTTAGTTTAGATTTAACTACCTCAGCGGTTTTTACCCTACAGTTGGGCAAATCTGCATTTTTAATTTCATTATACAAAAGGATGGATAGTATGGCATTGCCACATGCATTTGCACCGAAATGTTGTCTCGTCAGGCTTGTTTGTTTGTTTTTGGTTTGTTTAGTTTGTTGTTTTGTTGATTTTCCTATAAATCCGCCACTTTAGAACTTAAAGAATTGCTCCCCAACTAAGATTGGCGTATCTATAAATAAAAACAGTAATTATTCGTGGAAAGCCAACATTAATTTTCAACTGATGTTTGATGTCCCATATTTTACCCTGGTTCAAGGGTATTTCTCGATTATTATATCTCTAACTGCTCTTGGGTGTTTTTATCTCGTTGGAGGTATACAGATCTATAAACACCAGGAAAAAAACTAGCTACTAAATTTATGATACGGAAATCTGCTATCAGTCATTCTAGTTACACTGTAACAAAACAACTGAAACAAACAGCGTTTTAATTTCGCGTAGGATTTTCGTAACAAAACACCTTTAATCTCTGTCTGTGTATTACCCATAAATGCCCCAGGAGGTTACTGATGTCAAGGTTTTTGTTGGTTTATATAGCGCTGGTGGGTTTTTGCTGCTTATTGGCAGCAATTATTAATTCCCATCATAGTTGACTCCTCGTCATTAGGTTATTTATTACTGGGGGGGGGGGGATTAAAACGGGCTAAATTCAAAAAATAACCACGCAGAGCGAAAGAAGTGCTATTTCTCAATGCTTACACTAAGGGTTTGTAATCTAAACCAATCAGTAAAGGGAAAGGTGAGATGAGTTCTAAACCTAGTCGAACATACTGAAATTTTAAGGTGTAAGCAATCTTGCAAGCTCAAAGTGTTATCAATTTTAGCGTCGTTATTATTTTTACGTCTGTGTCCTTGTTATTAAAAAATCACTCAGATCTACATCCTCAGCGTCATCGGCTAGAGCCGGATCGTTGATTGGGTCAAGGGCTTCTTATTTCTCAGCATGCTGTATGCGGACCCCAATGTCCTGTACTTTTTTACAGCTGCACGTTTCTATCACATGTACCTTTTCCCTTAAAGTTATTCTTGGACTGGCCCTGTAAAGTAGACAATCCATTAGCCTCATATGTTCAAGGAAATTCGCTACTCAGGCGGCAGGCAAGCATTATAAGTCTTTCAAATTCTTAAAGTCATTTGCATGCTACTGGAAAAAATACTTGCATTCGGACTCTTCTTCCTTTAATCCTTCCACACGTACACGCCATATCGCACTGACTCCACCGATGCCAAGACCCACAATATGAATGAGCATAATGAGCATTCTGTGTGCATCCGATATTACTGTATGCACGTACTCATGGCGGTTTTGCACTTTCGAACAAAAAAAGAGTATAACGCCAATAATAGGTGCTACCAAAGCTTTTGTCCGGAACAAAAAGACTTGATATTTCCTTATTATACATTCGAAGCGATCAGTCTTCTAGTCATTTCAAGAAAAATGGATATCTGTCCGTTTACTGAATTCATCGCTGCAGCCAGCTAGTACAAGCTGTTTCACTTCTTCTTGCAGTGCTTGAATCAATTGAAGATGAAGAGGTTATGGAATGAGCTTCCACTGAACATTGAGAGCTAATTTGGCCATTTTTCCAGTTTGGCTTATCATTAACATATTGACTTTCTTAAATAATCTTGATATACTTTAGATCTTTTCTAATTTTTTAGATATATATCATTTTTTCTTTCCTTATATTATTTGTTGTTTTATTTACATTGTACAGCGCATTTGGGCACATTTGGAGAGTGCGCTATATTAATAAAGCATTATCGATCATTATCATTATTATTATTATTATTATTATTATTATTATTATTAAACCGATCACCCCTTTCCCTAGCTATCCTTTCATTCATCGCTCGGACCTCTAGTAGCTCAACGTCTGTTTATTTCGTTCGCGCAAGCTTAACCTGAGTATCAGATCCTTTGGCTCTGGGGGAATAGGAGGGGAGGGGTGCCGGATACTGAGGCTAGCACGACTTTAATGATCGATTTACTGTACTCCAAGTAAAAACTTCGCTTGGGGTAAGAAGAATTAAAGAAAACATGACGTAATTTCGCCACGAGGGAATCACAATGTCATAACGTCTTTCTGTCACTTGAAATTTTCTTTCAGCTAACAAATTTGGAGGCCAACACGAAGTACTATTACAGGGTTGGAGATCCCGACAATAACCTTAGTGATGTATTCTCGTTTTCCACTAACGAGGATAGCTTGATATATGCGGTTAGTATTTCAAATTTTCATCGCAAGTTGAAGCCCTCTTGAGTATAGGGCTTACTAAATCATTCCTTGCAAGAAACCGCGACATCCTTTAAGTTAACCTAATTGATTCAGTTGAATTATAAAGGGTTTCGAAAGGAACAATTGAATCAGGCGTTTTATTTCAGTCAGGAAGTCAATAAATAATATGAAACTGTCAGGAAACTCTCTCTAGCGTAAGCCGCTAATTATTTGTGCATTCCATTAGATACTAATCGGGAGGAGGGGAGAGAGGGGGGTTAGGTGGGGGGCAAGACAGGTTAGTGCATAGCTTGTTTAATAGACCAATGACCTATTGTTCTTCTGTTAGCGAAGGAACCTAAAATCCCTTTATTAAAATGTGGGTTTTCTTTAGGTGTATGGTGACATGGGCTATAAAAATGCTGTTAGCTTACCGCTTCTCAAAGACGAAGCTAAACAAGGAAAATTCCATGCCGTTTTCCATGTGGGAGGTGAGAAAACCGAAAGTTCGTCTCTATCTGTAAAAAAAGAAATAGTTTTATTAATGTGAATTTATACTATGTATTTCTTCGCTTTTTTAGATTTGGCGTATGACTTTTACGAAGAAGATGGAGTTACTGGTGACAAGTAAGTTGGTTCTTAATGAGTAATATGGACACCAATAGAGGCTTTGCACCCTCACGTGATGGCAGCCATGACAGGAGGCACAGTAATAGAGTCTTTCTCCCCTGGGAAACTGAATTCTTTCTCATGTAAATCAGATTAGACAAGAATCAATATTGTTCCTGCCTCCTGTCATGGCTGCCATCACGTGTTGGTGCAAAGCCTTATATGCTCTTTTTGCACGAACTGGCGCAAGTGAAAAACGTTTGCGCCTGCTTGAAGTCTATATGCAAATTAGTCCAAAACGTCCGTTTGTCTTTATTTCAAAAATCTATCATACAAATATTTCTTCTAGCAAGCGCAATAAGAAATGAGGGTTCTGAAAACTAAATTGAAATTCTTGGACAGCTTTTTTTCTCTATAGTGACCCCGCGAACTCTTTTTCTCCCGAACTTAACCGAATTTTGTGCTCCCATGAATGAAATATTTTCCTCACAGCAGCCACTTTATCCTGCAGGTTCATGAATTCTATTCAGCCAGTCGCAACGCTAGTTCCTTATATGGTGCTTCCAGGAAATCACGAGGTAAGTGCATGTCCTCGCTATGCGCAGGCGTTGTTCTATTCTCAATCTTGTCACTCGTCAGCAACAACATTATACGAGCTAGTGAATTAGTTATTTACCGGATTGACTATTAATTGCATTCTGCAGCACAAATACAACTTCAGTCACTATATCAACCGCTTTTCCAACATGGAATTGGGCGTGGGTGAAAACAGTGGAAGTGGCACAGGCCTGTGGTAAGTTTACGTGGACATTATTACAAAATCGTTCTCCATAGAAATCTGATGCTCAATCGATCTCTTTAGCTTGGGCGTAAAGTTTTCCCATGGGCGTCGCAGTATACTGAACAAACAAATGTTGTTTGTCGATAGGTATAGTTTGGACATCGGACTCATACATTTCGTTGCCTTCGACACAGAAGTTTACAAATATTCCTCAGATGACGTAAGTGTTACTACATCAAACCCGATATCCGCTGTCATAACTTTCGCGATATGCGTAATATTTATTCTGTATCTTTGTAGGGTCAAATTGCAAGGCAGTTGAACTGGCTAGAGCAAGATCTTGCTAAGGTACTATTATTTTTGGAAGGCAAGGGTTCCTCAAAGAGAAAATAAAAAAGAAATATTCATTGCGTACATTCTTTGGTGGGACCGAAAGAATAGTTCCCTTCACAGTTCTCTGCGCCATCTTGAAAGGTGACGAACGGTGAGCTTGCAATGAGTAGAGACATGTGAAAAATTGTCCAAGGTCCCTATCATTGCAAGCTCACCGTTCGTCTCGTTTCGATGCAAAGGCACGGCTACCTTTCAAAATGGCACAGGAAACTATGAAAGATACTATTGCAATATCGGCCAAGATTGTCAATCTGATCATTCAGTCTGACATCATACTAGGGACTGATGAAAATATAAGATACATCTGAAGTTTTTTTACGATGTAAGCTATTAATAATAATCGAGATTTGCTCCCTAGGCCAACAAGAACAGAGAAAATGTACCATGGATCGTATCTTTGGCACACAAGGTAATCGGTCCTACTGCGATTTGCAATAAATTCTGAGATTTTTTTCTCTATCTCGACAAAAAAAGTCATTGAGATTTTCAGTTAATATGGTTTCTTCAGATGTCCTTTCAGATTTCTTTTGTTGTTGTTGTTGTTGTTGTTGTCAGTTGTTGTTTTTGGGTTTTTTTTGTTTGTTTGTTTGTTTGTTTATTGTAATTTTCAATCCTAGCTTTTCATCTTTATTTCTTTACCAAAAAGTGCAGAAGACAAAGAGTTTTACAAACTGGATTATTTTTTTTCGCACACTCTAGAGTGATTTTATGGATCACACGAACTTCACATACTTCTCTCCGTTGCTGCACAAGTATGGAGTGGACATTCATTTATGTGGACATTCTCACAACTACCAGAGATACTTTCCTTGTAAGTGGTTTATATATGTATAGTATATATATCTTTCCTATCGGGCCGATAACCCCACCTAATGTGTACTTGAAGTCTTATATTAGACTTGGTAGCTCAGTGGTAAGAATATGGCAACGGAATCGCCAGGGCACGAGTTTAAATCCCGTTCAAGACTCAGAATTTTTTCTGAGTCTTTTAATTTGCAGCTGCACAAGTCGCTTCATATACTGCGAGGATCAGCTCAATTTGTTATATAAACTGGGGAGAAAGGACTTATAGAAATAAAAATTAAGTTTGGACCTAAAAAGGATGCTATGTGATAACATCCTCCACAGACTTCTCGCTAGGGCTTTTGTTGATTTGGTTTTCGTTGCTGTTTTCGTTGTTATTCGAGACGGATGGGTATTCACGCTCGGTCAACTCTCAGCCAACACAGGAAACCCAGTATAGAAAAAGAGAGAAAAGAGTAAAGAGACGCCTGCGGAGGACGCTAGCTATGTGATGCCTTTCTAGGTAACAGTCACCCCCCTTGAAATAGCTCTGGATCCACTACTATAAAATTCTCAGTGTCCCAGTGTTTGGAGTCTAGAATCAATCTCTCAATCACCACCGGTGCCATAAGCATGAGCACTGATTATAACTTTTATTTCACTCTAGATTTTAAACGCGAGATAGATCGTCAGTCCGACAAGAACGTATACAAGAACCCCAAGTATATGACGACTGTAGTTGTCGGTTCTGCTGGGTCTAAAGAAAAAATCTCTCAGGGATTAGGACCAATAAATAAACTTGTAACTCATATCTTTGATTACGGGTAAGTTAAGAGATAAGTAGAAAATGGTCATGTGATATGTAAGCTGAGTCGCGCATGTGAAAACGCGTTGACTAGTTCACGCATCTAGTAAGAAATAGACTACTTCGAATACGGCGGCAATCTTGGATCGCAAGGCATCATGGGGCGTCCAGGGGGCAAATAAAGCTTTGTTCCAGTAATGACGTCGATTGATATTAACAGCTCGTCACAAGAGAATACAACTAAAGATGAATTAAGACGGCACATTGATCACCTTTACCCATAAAAGAAAGACAAACACACGAAACTCTAGATATTTTCCGTCATCTCTCCGCCGAAGTAGTCAATTGCTTCAGGACGCCAATGCGAGGGCATACAGGAAAAGAGAGATATAAGAAGATAAATAGTAGATATAGGCTACTTGAGGCTCAGTGCCCGCCTCTCTTCACCAAGCTGGCACCCGTACGCAGGCAACGAAATGCATTAATTTAATAGATTTAATTCATCACTTAACTCTAACCTTAATCTTTTTGATCGCGCCAGGTTTGGTCACTTGCAAGTTTTCAACCACACTCATCTATCATGGAAATGGGAGAACTCAGAAACTTACTTGGATTCGCCTGTTCAGGATAATCTTTGGATCATTCAGGAAAACCACGGAATGAGGACCGTAGTTTAGAACAATTGTCTGGTCAACCACAGGAACCCCAAGTGTTAAATCCTTCAGTTGTCAAAATCTGAACACGAACATTTACAGCTTAATGATTGTTTCACGCTTAATAGCTTTCTCGGTGGCTATCGGCTGTCCAGTAATATATTGATTTGCATGTACGCTTTAGATCTCGACGCCAAAACTTTTAAAGAATTTTTTGACCTATTTTTACCTCTTAATATATATAAACCACAATTCGATTACGAAAACTGAAGACGCTAGAAAAAAGTAAGGATTATAGTTCAAGGTTTTCTGTAAATCCTTTTCACGCGCGTTAAAATGAACAGGAGGACCGCCTGAATTAAATTAATAATTAAATGATTCATAAATACGATTAATTAAGTTACACCCCTTCTTTCACATTGAGACTTTTGTTCAGCTATAGCATGCAAAATGTTTAACAGGAGTAAAATAGAGATTCAGCTGGTTTTCGCTTTTATATATTTTTTCAACAAAAATATAGTACATGATAAATAAAAATTTGACGACCCTAAAATTCATACAAAATGTTATTCATATATATCTATGAAAAAGAATATTTTAGTCGAGGACGAGTATTCATCGAATTGCGCGCTTCGGATTTCGAACTACGAAATCTCTTTCTACAGCCAAGTTACGCGCCTATCGCGTAACTCAAACTCGCACAAATTTCTTAATGACATCGACTTACGCGCACTGCGTGAAAACGTCAAATTTGGTTGTGGTCGAGTGCGCAGCTCGAAAAGAGCGTAACGCGAAGCGCATAACTCGAAGCGCGTAACTCGATGAATACCCGATGAAGTTTTCATTGTCCAAAAAGTGTCTTTATTGTCTTTGAATAATCACAGGAAGCCCAATTTGATAAAAGTCGCTTGCGTCATTGGTAATAGGTAATTCCCCTATCGTATTCGATATTGTTAAACGAGCTGTTTAACACTCACAATAGCGCGCTAGTTTCCGACGATCTATTCGATTGGACTATAGCCTGCGTGACAGACATGGACGACACAACAATTATAACAGTTTGTAACTGTAATTTCATCGTGTTAAAAATAAATGCTATTATTATTATTATTGGAAAATAATTAAGCTTACTTAGGTTTACTATTTGTCATTGCAAGACGTGAAATAACGCCGCGGTTTTAATAATCACACTTCGCGCTCTAAACCACAAATACACACAGCGAGTACCACTTGTGGCAAGTTAACTTAACCACAACTTTGATAGCGGATAATAAAGCCTAGATATCATTTCCCTTAAAGAAAAGGGCACTTTTCGGCCTCAGATGTTTAAATGCAAGAAATAACGATAAATTTTGTAGCAAACGATGCACTACTTTCAATGCAGTGGTAGCTTTGCTGGGCATTCAAAGAAAGCTATTCAACACGAATTGACAAAGCGACAGCACATGATTTACCTGTATGCAAGAAGAACTTGAATATTCAACCCAGAGTCTTGCATGTATTTCAGGCCGCTCATTTGAAGCTTGAAAGAGAAAGTATTCAGGAATCGTGTCTATGGTTCTAAACAACGCAACTACTAGTTGGTAAATTGTCCGCACAACTGAGTTCACGGTAGCGACTAATTATACTCCTGAATATTTGACAAGTTTCAAATCTGCACGTGAAAATTTTAGTTTCCTTTCCGCTTTTTGTCATTTCAGTGTGTAAAATGTGTGAAAAAATGATTGAATGAAATAAAGAACTTGATGATATTCTCGATGTATTCATCTAATCTTCATTCACTTGCTTTTAAAAGCATCAGTATTTGATGATACTTCGATTATCCTGTTTAACCAAAGCTACCCTCTCTTCGTCTTCAA